ACTATAGATTACTCTATAGTCAAGACTATAGATTACTCTATAGTCAAGACTATAGATTACTCTATAGTCAAGACTATAGATTACTCTATAGTCAAGACTATAGATTACTCTATAGTCAAGACTATAGATTACTCTATAGTCAAGACTATAGATTACTCTATAGTCAAGACTATAGATTACTCTATAGTCAAGACTATAGATTACTCTATAGTCAAGACTATAGATTACTCTATAGTCAAGACTATAGATTACTCTATAGTCAAGACTATAGATTACTCTATAGTCAAGACTATAGATTACTCTATAGTCAAGACTATAGCTTACTATAGACTATAGATTACTCTATAATCAAGACTATAGATTACTCTATAGTCAAGACCATAGATTACTCTATAGTCAAGACTATAGATTACTCTATAGTCAAGACTATAGATTACTCTATAGTCAAGACTATAGATTACTCTATAGTCAAGACTATAGATTACTCTATAGTCAAGACTATAGATTACTCTATAGTCAAGACTATAGATTACTCTATAGTCAAGACTATAGATTACTCTATAGTCAAGACTATAGATTACTCTATAGTCAAGACTATAGATTACTCTATAGTCAAGACTATAGATTACTCTATAGTCAAGACTATAGCTTACTATAGACTATAGATTACTCTATAATCAAGACTATAGATTACTCTATAGTCAAGACCATAGATTACTCTATAGTCAAGACTATAGATTACTCTATAGTTAAGATTATAGATTACTCTATAGTCAAGACTATATATTACTCTATAGTCAAGACTATAGATTACTCTATAGTCAAGACTATAGATTACTCTATAGTCAAGACTATAGATTACTCTATAGTCAAGACTATAGATTACTCTATATTCAAGACTATAGATTACTCTATAGTCAAGACTATAGATTACTCTACTATAGAATACTCCATAGTCAAGACTATAGATTAGTCTAACTATTAGTCAAGACTAAATATTTTTCTATAGTCAAGGCTATAAAATAGTCAATATTCGAGGCTATTAATTAATCTATTGTGAAGTCTATAGACAAGTCTACAGTGAAGACTTTAGACTATACTGAAGACTATAGACTTATCTAAAGAAAAGGCTATAGATAAGTCTATAATGAAGACTATAAACTGACTATAGAATAATCTATAGTCTTCACTCTAGAACAGTTTCTAGTCTTGATTATAGAACAGTTTCTAGTCTTGATTTTTAGCCTTCATAGGAATATTTCCGAAAATTACAGGTGTAGAGAATCATATGGTCGGTATTACATGTTTATAATTTGAAATATTGCCTTTGCTTGTTAGTGTAAATGAAAACATGAAAACATGTACTGATAACCTTAATTATTTTAAATTTAGTAATTAATTTCATTACCTAATAACTCAAAGGAATACATGAGTTAATTGATATTAAAGTAAATTTGTATATTTCAATTAAGTATTATTTTTAGTTTAATTATAAATCATTTTCACATAATATGTTTATTAAATCATATTCAAATATAGTAATTTAGTTAGAAAAGTTGGGTAAACACGACCGTAATAAAACCCTACACCAGAAGATATTAATACTTTTATTTTTAAGACTATTTTTTTGAAAGTGTTTGTTAGAAATCACGAACTTTAAATGTGACTGGTATCCATATTTTGATATCTGTGAGAGATTTAACTTTTGTAGGAAGAAACTATATGGTGCCCGACTCAATTACTAAACTCTCGTTAAATCGATTTAGTAAATCATTCAGTTTGTTTAGTGTAGGGTATACTATTCCCATTAAACTGTAAAAATAATATGCTGCTAATAATTATAAATTAATTTGCAAACATATTTCACATTCGTGTAATTATTTCTCAATTGTGGTACTAAATTTAAACAATTTAAATTTTATTATTATAAAGTACTATTTTCAAACATTATTCTTATTAAAATACAATCTGTTTGAATAAAATTGAACGGTCATGAAAACTTAAATTGCCGAATATTAAATAATTTCTCATTAAGGTTTATGTACTTAAATAAAGAAGATATATTTATATATACATACATACATATGTATGTAATTTACATTTATACGTATACACATACAATTTATCGCTAATATTAAATTCAAATTAACCTTTCATAATATTAAACCGCAATTATGTGAAATCGAAAATATGTACACCTGCTGCTGATGCTACTGAATCTGTTGCTGTTGTTACTGCTGCTGCTGATGATGATGATTTTTGAAAATTTCTAATTTAAAATGCACACAAGTATTTGTAATTTGAATTTGTTTATAATAGTGTTTGTGTGTGTGTATACAAATATTATAATTACATTAGGGTCGGTTTTTGGACTTTGCCTAACTATGCACAAAATTAATTTGGAATTCAATAACATTTATTGAACTTTTGTTTTGGGTTTTAGAAGTAAAAAAAAGTTATAAACAAATGACCATATATAATTTTGCAAATGCAGAAGTATTTTAAAGTTTTATAAGAGGTGAAATGTTGAAAAGAATGAAATCGTTAGAATTCAGAATATAAACTGTCCAATACATAGTGCTCCGTAGTCTAGACTTGTGCAGCAGACTGGCGCTAAGTCATGACTATATACTGATCCATAGTACACGGACAAGATTAGTCTACGGCCAAGACTATAGATTGGTCTATAGTTAACACTGTAGATTAGTCTATAGTTAAGACTATAGATTAGTCTATAGACAAGACTATAGATTAGTCTATAGACAAGACTATAGATTAGTCTATACTCAAGACTATAGATTAGTCTATAGTCAAGACTATAGATTAGTCTATAGACAAGACTATAGACTAGTCTATAGTCAAGACTATAGATTAGTCTATAGTCAAGACTATAGATTAGTCTATAGTCAAGACTATAGATTAGTCTATAGTCGAGACTATAGATCTGTCTATAGTCAAGACTATAGATCTGTCTATAGTCAAGACTATAGATTAATCTATAGGCAACACTATAGATTAATCTATAGTCAAGACTATAGATTAGTCTATAGTCAAGACTACAGATTAATCTATTGTCAAGACTATAGATTAGTCTATAGTCAAGACTATAGATCAGTCTATAGTCAAGACTATAGATTAGTCTATAGTCAAGACTAAAGATCAGTCTATAGTCAAGACTACAACTCAGTCTATAGTCAAGACTAAATATCAATTTATAGTAAAGACTATAGATTAGTCTACAGTCAAAACTATAGATTAGACTATAAACAAGACTATAGATTAGTCTATAGTCAAGACTATAGAATAGTCTATAGTCAAGACTATAGAATAGTCTATAGTCAAGACTATAGAATAGTCTATAGTCAAGACTATAGAATAGTCTATAGTCAAGACTATAGATCTGTCTACAGTCAAGACCATAGATCTGTCTACAGTCAAGACTATAGATCTGTCTATAGTCAAGACTATAGATCTTTCTATAGTCAAGACTATAGATTAGTCTATAGTCAAGACTATAGCTCAGTCTATAGTCAATACTAAAGATCAATTTATAGTAAAGACTATAGATTAGTCTACAGTCAAAACTATAGATTAGACTATAAACAAGACTATAGATTAGTCTATAGTCAAAACTATAGATTAGTCTGTAGGCAAAACTATAGATTAGTCTATAGTCAGGACTATAAATCAGTCTATAGTCAAGACTACGGATTAGTCTATAGTCAAGACTTTAGATTAGTCTATAGTCAAGACTTCAGATTAGTCTATAGTCAAGACTTTAGATTAGTTTATGGTAAAGATAGATTAGTTCATAGTAAAGACTATAGACTAGTCTATAGTCAAGACTATAGAATAGTTTATAGTCTAATGTATAGTAGTCAGAATTATACACTGATCTATATACAGGACTATATGTACACTGATCTATTGACAGAACTATAGACTGATCTATCGTCAGAACTTCAGACTGGTCTATAGTCAGAATCGTACACTAATGTATTGTCAGAACAATAGACTGATCTATAGAAATGACTATAGACTGATATATAGTCTACACTATAAAGTATAGACTGATATATAGTCTACACTATAAAGTATAGACTGATATATAGTCTACACTATAAAGTATAGACTGATATATAGTCTACACTATAAAGTGATCTATATTCAGGACTATAGACTGATATATATTCTAGACTATGAAGTGATCTATAGTCAGGACTATGAACTGATCTATAGTCAGAACTGTTGAATGATCTGTAGGCAGAACTATAGACTAATCTATAGTCAGAACTATAGACTGATCTATAGTCAGAATTGTAGTTAGGATTATAGAACTAATCTATCTTTAGTACTTAAGACTTATCTATTGTTAGAACTATAAAGTGAACTATAGACTGATCTACAGTCAGGAATATAGACTGATCTATAGAAAGGACAGAACTATAGACTGATCTATAGTCAGAATTGTAGTTAGGATTATAGAACTAATCTATCTTTAGTACTTAAGACTTATCTATTGTTAGAACTATAAAGTGAACTATAGACTGATCTACAGTCAGGAATATAGACTGATCTATAGAAAGGACTACTGACTGTTCTATAGTCAGTAGTATAGGAGTAATCTATGGTCATGACTTCAAACTAATAGACCGAGAACTATAGAATGATCCATAGTCTGGACTTATACACTGATCCATAGTCAGGACTTATAGACTGATCTATATTCTGGACTTATAAACTGATCTATAGTCTGGACTATAGACTGATCTATAGTCTAAACTATAGATCAGTCTATAGTCCCGACTATAGAATGATCTATAGTCTAGACTATAGAGTGGTCTATAGTCTAGACTATAGAGTGGTCTATAGTCTAGACTATAGAGTGGTCTATAGTCTAGACTATAGAATGGTCTATAGTCTAGACTATAGACTGATCCATAATGTAGACTATAGACTGATATATAGTCTAGACTATAGACCAATCTATTATTTGGGCTATAGGTTGATCTATATTCTGGACTTTAAATTGATTTATAGTCAGGACTTCAGACTGATCTATAAACAGAACTTTAGACAGAACTATAGACAGACCTATAGTCAGGACTATTAACTGATTAATGATCAGGACTATAGACAGATTTATGGTCGGTACTATACACTGATCTATAGTCAGAACTATAGATTGATCTACAAAGAGAAATATAGACTTATCTATAGTCAGGACTGTACATTTATCAATATGCAGGTTTGAACTACATATATTAAGAACTATTGACTGAGCTCTGGAGATATTTAGTCTGTACAATCGACTGATCTGCCGTTAGAACTATAGTTCATAGTCAAGTCTAAAGACCAGTCTATAGTCTTGCCTCTTTATGTATATATAATTTTAATCGAAACCACTCTTTTATGCCACTGACATACATACACATACATATGTCTTCCAACCAATAACTATTAGCCGCAAAATTAGTTATTCATTTTATTGTTATTTTGAAAACCCACTTGCCACAAGTCTATGGAAATATTTTTGAAAAACCCAAATCAGATGCAGCACAACAATAACGACACTAATTATTAACTATTTTGGCATTTGAAGCATTTAATGCTGAAATAAACGCAACAATGAACTTGTGTTTAACCAAACTCTGAATAATTGAGAGTGAAATAGGGAGACAACAATAAATTGCAAGTATTTATGGAATTTATTTGAAACATTTAAACCAAAAATAACTCTTTCTCTCATTGGAATTATAATTGGCAAATAAATAATGATGCTGCCACCATAGAGGGTTTTCAAACTATTGCAAGTTTGCATAAGCAATTTTGTTAAAAATACAAAAAACAAAAAAAAAATATATATTTGCATAATTATTTGCAAGTGCAGTTTTATATAAATTTCTTTAATTAAAGGTTCTTTTTTATAATTATTTTGTAATTGTGTAAAAACTAACTACATGTAACTTAATTAAACTAATGAATAGTTTGTGTTTGCCATTATAATTAAATTAAATTGTATGGAAAATTAAATTAAATAAAAAAAACAAAATTAATTTAACCTACATTTTCAATATAATTTTATTTCCAGTTAAAGTATTCAGTTGAATTATGGTTTTTATTATTATTATTTATAGATTTATTTTAATTCACTCGCTTTTCATTAAATTTTAGTGCAAAATGCAAGTCTCGTTTTAAATGGAGAACTTACATTATAATTGATTCTCATACGGGTGAGTTAGACGATGCTGTCGAGGCACCATGATTATTTTCATGTATTATAGCACCAGTACCACTAAGACCACTACATATACTAGCCGAGTCCGCACCACTGTTTAGGCCACTACTTAAACGGTCTCGTGCCAAAGCTGAAGTCGAACCATAAGCAGACGCTGCTGTTGCTCCGATATCATTAATGCTCTTGACACGTCGATGTTGTTCATAGAGTAGATTTGGATCTGATATGGCTTCAATACCACTACCTGAGGGTGGGGCACTTACACGATGAGCAGCTGTTGCTGCAGCAACAGAATTTTGTTGTTGCTGATGTTGCAGCTGCTGTTGTTGATAGTAGTGCTGCTGTTGATAGTGCGAATTTTGGGTGGGTGGTGGAGGTGGTGCTGTTGTAGGTGGGGGAAAATGGTGGGTAAAATGATGTGAACCGCCTATAGTGGCGTAAATTCCTCCGCCGCCTTCTGAGCTGCTAAACGATGGTGTTGGGGAGGTGGAGTTCCCAACAGAGGTGCGGTCGCCAATTGAGCTACCGCTGCGGGATGATTTTGCGTTAAAACGGAAGGCTTTTGAGAGAGAGCTCTGTTGAAGATGAAATAAATAAAATAAAGCAATTGATTTTTTGTCAAAATTTATGCTAAAAGTTCTTAAAAACTAAAATACGATATACAAATATATTTCCGTGTTATAACTCACCTGTGATCCTTTCCATGCCGATATCTATACCATAGAAATATATAAAAAGTAAAGTTTTTGATATTAATAATTTTTTAAATATTTTGCTATAATTTATGTATTTAATAACTATGTATTTTCTTTTAAATAACACTCAGAAAAATTATTTTTAAATAATAAATTATTATTTTAATTGTATTTCTGAGAGTATTTCGTTAATTAACTGCGTGTTATAAATAATATTAAAATAAAATCTCAATTTTTCTTTAATAAAATATCATGTTTAATGTACATATGCTCGTGTTAAGATATTGATTAAAACATACAGTAAAGAGCAAAAGGAGGATACACTTTCAGAAATGTTTCTAACAAAACACTCTTCTATAGACTAGACTATAGACTAGACTATGTATTAAACTATAGACTAGACTATAGACTACACTATAGGCTAAACTATAGACTAGTCTATAGATTAGACTATAGACTAGACTATAGACTAGACTATAGACTAGACTATAGACTAGACTATAGACTAAAATATAGATTAGGTTATAGACTAGACTATAGACTAGACTATAGACTAGACAATAGACTAGACTATAGACTAGACTATAGACTAGACTATAGACTAGACTATAGATTAGATTATAGACTAGACTATAGACTAGACTATAGACTAGACTATAGACTAGACTATAGACAAGACTATAGACTAGACTATAGACTAGACTATAGACTAAACTATAGACTAGACAATAGACTAGACTACAGACTAGACTATAGACTAGACTATAGACTATAGACTAGACTATAGACTAGACTATAGACTAGACTATAGACTAGACTATAGACTAGACTATAGACTAGACTATAGACTAGACTATAGACTAGACTATAGACTAGACTATAGACTAGACTATAGACTAGACTATAGACTAGACTATAGACTAGACTATAGACTAGACTATAGACTAGACTATAGACTAGACTATAGACTAGACTATAGACTAGACTATAGGACTAGACTATAGAACTAGACTATAGACTAGACTATAGACTAGACTATAGACTAGACTATAGACTAGACTATAGACTAGACTATAGACTAGACTATAGACTAGACTATAGACTAGACTATAGACTAGACTATAGACTAGACTATAGACTAGACTATAGACTAGACTATAGACTAGACTATAGACTAGACTAGACTAGACTATAGACTAGACTATAGACTAGACTATACTAGACTAGACTACTATAGACTAGACTATAGACTAGACTATAGACTAGACTATAGACTAGACTATAGACTAGACTATAGACTAGACTATAGACTAGACTATAGACTAGACTATAGACTAGACTATAGACTAGACTATAGACTAGACTATAGACTAGACTATACTAGACTATAGACTAGACTATAGACTAGACTATAGACTAGACTATAGACTAGACTATAGACTAGACTATAGACTAGACTATAGACTAGACTATAGACTAGACTATAGACTAGACTATAGACTAGACTATAGACTAGACTATAGACTAGACTATAGACTAGACTATAGACTAGACTATAGACTAGACTATAGACTAGACTATAGACTAGACTATAGACTAGACTATAGACTAGACTATAGACTAGACTATAGACTAGACTATAGACTAGACTATAGACTAGACTATAGACTAGACTAGACTAGACTATAGACTAGACTATAGACTAGACTATAGACTAGACTATAGACTAGACTATAGACTAGACTATAGACTAGACTATAGACTAGACTATAGACTAGACTATAGACTAGACTATAGACTAGACTATAGACTAGACTATAGACTAGACTATAGACTAGACTATAGACTAGACTATAGACTAGACTATAGACTAGACTATAGACTAGACTATAGACTAGACTATAGACTAGTCTATAGACTAGACTATAGACTAGACTAGACTATAGACTAGACTATAGACTAGACTATAGACTAGACTATAGACTAGACTATAGACTAGACTATAGACTAGACTATAGACTAGACTATAGACTAGACTATAGACTATAGACTAGACTATAGACTAGACTATAGACTATAGACTAGACTAGACTATAGACTAGACTATAGACTAGACTATAGACTAGACTATAGACTAGACTAAAGACTAGACTATAGACTAGACTATAGACTAAACTATAGACTAGACTATAGACCAGACTATAGACTAGACTATAGACTAGACTATAGACTAGACTAGACTATAGACTAGACTATAGACTAGACTATAGACTAGACTATAGACTAGACTATAGACTAGACTATAGACTAGACTATAGACTAGACTATAGACTAGACTATAGACTAGACTATAGACTAGACTATAGACTAGACTATAGACTAGACTATAGACTAGACTATAGACTAGACTATAGACTAGACTATAGACTAGACTATAGACTAGACTATAGACTAGACTATAGACTGGACTATAGACTAGACTAGACTAGACTATAGACTAGACTATAGACTAGACTATAGACTAGACTATAGACTAGACTATAGACTAGACTATAGACTAGACTATAGACTAGACTATAGACTAGACTATAGACTAGACTATAGACTAGTTTATAGACTAGACTATAGACTAGACTATAGACTAGACTATAGACTAGACTATAGACTAGACTATAGACTAGACTATAGACTAGACTAGACTATAGACTAGACTAGACTATAGACTAGACTATAGACTAGACTATAGACTAGACTAGACTAGACTATAGACTAGACTATAGACTAGACTATAGACTAGACTATAGACTAGACTATAGACTAGACTATAGACTAGACTATAGACTAGACTATAGACTAGACTATAGACTAGACTATAGACTAGACTATAGACTAGACTATAGACTAGACTATAGACTAGACTATAGACTAGACTATAGACCAGACTATAGACTAGACTATAGACTAGACTATAGACTAGACTATAGACTAGACTATAGACTAGACTATAGACTAGACTATAGACTAGACTATAGACTAGACTATAGACAAGACTATAGACTAGACTATAGACTAGACTATAGACTAGACTATAGACTAGACTATAGACTAGACTATAGACTAGACTATAGACTAGACTATAGACTAGACTATAGACTAGACTATAGACTAGACTATAGACTAGACTATAGACTAGACTATAGACTAGACTATAGACTAGACTATAGACTAGACTATAGACTAGACTATAGACTAGACTATGGACTAGACTATAGACTAGACTAGACTAGACTATAGACTAGACTATAGACAAGACTATAGACTAGACTATAGACTAGACTATAGACTAGACTATAGACTAGACTATAGACTAGACTATAGACTAGACTATATACGACTAGACTATAGACTAGCCTATAGACTAGACTATAGGACTAGGACTATAGACTAGATCTATAGACCAGGACTATAGACTAGAACTATAGACTAGACTATCGACTAGGACTATAGACTAGACCTATAGACTAGACTATAGACTAGACTAGCGACTTAGACTATAGGACTAGACTATAGATCTAGACTATAGACTAGACTCTAGACTAGACTATAGGACTAGACTATAGACTAGACTAGAGACTAGACTATAGACTAGACTATAGACTAGGACTATAGACTAGACTATAGACTAGACTATAGGACTAGACTATAGACTAGACTATAGACTAGACTATAGACTAGACTATAGACTAGACTGATAGACTAGACTATAGACTAGACTATAGACTAGACTATAGACTAGAGCTATAGACTAGACTATTAGACTAGACTATAGACTAGACTATAGGCTAGACTATAGGACTAGGACTATAGACTAGACTATAGGACTAGACTATAGGCTAGGACTATAGACTAGACCTAGACTAGACTAGATAGACTAGGACTATAGACTAGACTAGACTAGACTATAGACTAGACTATAGACTAGACTATAGACTAGACTATAGACTAGACTATAGACTAGACTATAGACTAGACTATAGACTAGACTATAGACTAGACTATAGACTAGACTATAGACTAGACTATAGACTAGACTATAGACTAGACTATAGACTAGACTATAGACTAGACTATAGACTAGACTATAGACTAGACTATAGACTAGACTATAGACTAGTTTATAGACTAGACTATAGACTAGACTATAGACTAGACTATAGACTAGACTATAGACTAGACTATAGACTAGACTATAGACTAGACTAGACTAGACTAGACTAGACTAGACTATAGACTAGACTAGACTATAGACTAGACTAGACTATAGACTAGACTATAGACTAGACTATAGACTAGACTAGACTAGACTATAGACTAGACTATAGACTAGATACTAGACTATAGACTAGACTATAGACTAGACTATAGACTAGACTATAGACTAGACTATAGACTAGACTATAGACTAGACTATAGACTAGACTAGACTATAGACAAGACTATAGACTAGACTATAGACTAGACTATAGACTAGGCTATAGACTAGACTATAGACTAGACTATAGACTAGACTATAGACTAGACTATAGACTAGACTATAGACTAGACTATAGACTAGACTATAGACTAGACTATAGACTAGACTATAGACTAGACTATAGACTAGACTATAGACTAGACTATAGACTAGACTATAGACTAGACTATAGACTAGACTATAGACTAGACTATAGACTAGACTATAGACTAGACTATGGACTAGACTATAGACTAGACTATAGACTAGACTATAGACTAGACTATAGACTAGACTATAGACTAGACTATAGACTAGACTATAGACTAGACTATAGACTAGACTATAGATTAGACTATAGACTAGACTATAGATTATACTATAGACTAGACTATAGACTAGACTATAGACCAGACTATAGACTAGACTATAGACTAGACTATAGACTAGACTATAGACTAGACTATAGACTAGACTATAGACTAGACTATAGACTAGACTATAG